AACTTAGACTTAGAGAGTTCGTTAACTCTTTGTAAGTATCATTATTATGAATACTTACTCCCCTCTGAAACATTGACCACAGTCAAGAGTTCCTCTTTCCTAGTTAGGTGAATTACGATTGCTCTGATTCCATCCTTGTTAGGATACGTAGTCATGAGATGCGACGTCTTGGTGAACATATTTTATATGTACCCATAGGTATTTACCTTTAGCACCTTTACCTTAGTAGAAAACCATTAGCAAGCAAACATTAGCAATAACACAAATACCAAACAAGAGGCTCCTGTAGATTACTACATATACTTAGGATGTTAATACCTTCCCTAGGTATAACCAATCCCCGAACCCCGCAATCTCTTAGCTCCGTTGTTACGTAGCACACTTAGGGTTTTCTTCGATCTTTATCCTTTACTTTGGATAAATCAAAGCTCGGTGGTGAACTTCAATGGTTTTTTATTCAAGTTAATTAATAACTTGATATCTGATTCTCACTGCAACAGGTGCTTAAATTCAATCAAGGTTTTACTAATCCCCAAGGAGCCAATGAAGATCAGGTACCTAGTACAAGTTGTTAATCATGCAGGAAAAATATCTTGACTCTATGGAAAGAGTATGAGAACTTGTTCATAGAGCATCAAGGCACAACACGATAACATGTCATTATTTTGATCTATGTGACTAACAAGGAAGATTATGTTACCAACCAGGTTAACTCTATGTTTTCCTTTCTATTAAAGTGATAAAAGTGTATGAATTTTGGCTAATAAGTTATCTGAGAAGTGTCGGAAGGATGTTATATTCAATTATGCAGGTTATCCTTGACTAGACTTTCTCAAGTACATCAAACTAGGAGTGATCAACCTAAAATTATGAAACATGGGGTGAAGCCAGATTATCATCATAATTGAGAAAATCATCATCAAATGATGTTCTTGGATAAATTGCTAATCTCACTTTCAAATGCTTGTGCAAGAAGGAAAGTGGTAAGAACGTTTTGGTCTTATTTGTATTGTATGGCACATGCTACATTCATTTCAGCTTTCATTCGAAAGTTCTTCATGGAATGCTTGTGCCTCCTCTATCTTGTGTGCGGTGAGGTAATATCGTTTCAACCTTATTTCTTGCTATGTACGCAAGTGTTTATTTTACTCGTTTATTTCATAAGAATATGTGATGAACTATGTTTGATACTTGTGATATGTGTTTACTTATAAAATTATCAAATGTGACTGTTGTATGTTGCATTTTACATAGTAACCATACATAAATGCCATTATGGTTCATTTGTATCTTAGATTAAGTCAGGCTTGCATGATTATATGTTATATGATTAAAGCAAACAAGTCATCAAACCTTATCAATTATCATATGCATGTGTCTTCACCCCAGCACACCATAGCCCCCCACAAATGAACACACAGACATCTCACCACCAAAACATCCAACCATAATTTGACATCCTTAAGCCACAACAACCCTTGCATCGTTTCAAAAACGATTCAATGTACCAATTCGGGCAACCGTACCGTCCTCACCTAACCCAACCATTGCGACCAAACTTCGAAAACATGGGTGCGAAACTAAATTACGGAAGGACTGTAGGCAACAACCCTCCGACTATTGAGGATAAATGATTACAAATATTTCAAATACGTCGAGACCCTCGTATCAAATATCTTTCTCGCAGGCCAATACGCAAAGACCACGAACACCTCAATAAAATCATGGTAGACCTCGGAGGCATGCTAATGCGTTGGGATGTGGAACCGATGGACGTTTCGATCGGGACGAACATTAACTTTTTATTCAATTGTTGTAACCTTTAATATATTTTAATAATATTTTTATTTTTTTCTAAATTTTTAACCTATTTTAAATTAATTTTCCTAATCAATTTTTTTAAAAAAATAATATAAGGGGGATGCACCATTAGATATGGCACATGCACTCCAAATTAGGGCATCTTTATGTATGCGGCATTTGATTTGACTACACCTGCATTTTGCTCCAAATCAAATGGCGGATGCGCCCTCTTTTCTACATATACTCCAATTTAAATGGCGTCAACTTATTGCTCTTTTATAAAACTATGTTATTTTGATAAAAAAAATTGAAAACAATTTTATTTTGATATTTAAATTGAATAAATAGATTATTTCAAAAAAATTAATATATGACCATAAATATTTGTAGTACAACAATATAAAGATATAAATATGCTTAAAAAATATTAATTTAGAGTAGTTAATAAACATAAACACCATAATTTAGGTACTTTTGTTGGTTACCAATTGAATAGTTAACTTCTATTTTTAAAAAAAAACTTACATCTATAACTTTTATTAATAGTCAATTGTGACACAAGTTAAGAAACATCTTCTATTTCTTTTTTTAAATTCCATTACTTTCTCAATCTATATACTATTTTTTTAAAACTTTTTTCCATTCTATAATTTTTTCATTTATTTAATTTTGATCAATGATCTTTTCATTCTTGAAAAGAGATGAAGCGTATTTCCAATCAAGACCACACCCACCCCGGACGAAGAAAACATTCTCATTACGACTGAAATTCACAAACATATAAAAAATGTGATGCTCCGTGGCAGAAGTCATACGTGTTACCATAACTTGACTATGGTAAATTAAGTTCTTTGATTTTGACAGCCTAATGTATTATTTAATTATATATCTTGAAAACTCAAGATAGTCCCTTAAATAGTATGTTCATGTCTCATTATGCAATATTTTATTTAAAATTATATTTGTGTGTGAGAGAATATATATATATATATATATATATATATATATATATATATATATATATATATATATATATATATATATATATATATATATATATATATATATATATATATATATATATATATATATATATATATATATATATATATATATATATATATATATATATATATATATATATATATATATATATTTGAAACTTTTGATCAAGAAATAATTAGATAATTCTTGCGAAAGTAAAATCAAAGTGCTAACTTAAAAAGAGAGAAAGAAAATAAAGATACATTCTATTGATTAATATTAATTGACAAGAGAATAAAAGCAGTTATTCATATTAATATATTTTTTTGTCTGTTTTATTGAATTTTTTATTTGATAGTTTAAAATCAATGTTGAACTCAATAAATGACGGTTCATAATTTTTCAACTATCAATTTCTATTTCAATTTATAATCACATATATGAAAATGCAACTGAAAAAAAATATATTTTTGTTACGATATTTTAATTAGTTTTGCTTCTAAAAGATATATAATGCTTTTAATGCATTTATTATTAGGCATTCTTACACAGTTAATTTGATTTTTTATAATTTTATTTTTTTGGTTTTTTTTAGGTTTTGTCCTTACATCTTTTTAAAATTTTTTCTCTTTTATTTTTCACATCTATACACAAATTAATTGCTATTTACTTAAATATTTTTAAAGCAAAATTGATTTGCCAAACACTTTTATTTTTGTAATATTGTGACTCTGTATAATTTTCCCATTGCTTGATGTTAAAATGCTAATTTGATTACTATTTTTTTAGTGTATTCAACTTTATTGCACTATTGAATACTTTATTTTTTTAAATAATATTTTTTTTATTAATTAGTTGCAAATTTTATTTCAGTTTCTTTTGCATAGAAATAAAACATATTTGTGATTCAAATTTAATATTGTTCCTTTCTATTAATCACTGTTTTATTCACATTTTTTAATTAATTGTGAGATATCATTTTTATTTTATTTTATATATTAAATTGTAGTTTAAATAAAGTATTTTTATTCACGTCTTTAGAACTAATATTTTTATTTTTATTTTTAAACATTGCATAATCTTAACATTGTGTATATTATTAATTTGTAGAGTTTGAACTTTATCATTAACGTAAATGTTTATTTTATGTAATTATTATGTTATTAATTAATTTTGTATGGTAATTGTAAAATTTTCAATAAACAATTTTGATATCTTACATGTTTTAGAATAATAAAAAATATATATAAGCGATTATTTTTTATTGGAAAAAGTTATTAAAATTATGCATATTTTGATTGGTATAGAGTTAGGTTCACAAAATATTAATTTTGTCACGAATTACCTCCTTAAAGCATATGGAATTTGAAGAGCCGTACTCTCAATCAAACAATCACGGATATTATGATCATTCTCTAGAAGTCATTTATTCTCAACTGATCTTTTAAATGTATTAAACAAATTGTCATTATTTGTAAGAAGATATTTCCAATTAGTTGCACCTTTAACATGAGATAATAATCAAAAGCAAAACTTCTCTCCCTTCAAAGGTAACTTCTCTCCCTTCAAATGTTATACTATATAAACTCTTCTGATAAATGAGCAAATTGTCCATAACATATGCGCACATTTTTAAACTACTCGAGGAAATCTAAAAGCATTATTTTAAATACTAAATATGATAAAAACTTCATTCAAAATATACACACGTTTATTTTTCTATGCTGTGCACATTAAAAAAAACAAACAGACGGTCACGAAAGTGTCCGTCTGAACACTAGTTAACCATAACAGCCAAGACTATTACATCCTACACTCCAAATTCTAAAATGTCTCATATAAATTAAAAAGTTTTATTATTTATAACTTTATTATTATTTTTATAGAAAAATATAAATTATAGATGATTCTACAATAATATCTCTAATAACTATACATTAGAGAAATTAAAAAAGTTAAAAAAAATAATAATAATAATAAACATTTGAAAACATATAATATAAAATTTGTTAATATTACATTAAATATAAAATGAATTATAATTTGAAACAAATATTATTAACAAAATAATTTATAACTTGAGATAGAGATAATAACTAACAATAACAAATTAGAACACAAAAAAGAGTTTCTCCAATATCGATCTTATTCAGACTATTTCAGTCATCCAAATAGATGATACGAAAAGAACATGGGATAAAAAGCATCTATGATTAACGTAACCTACGATTCAAAATTTCACAAATGTTACGAAGATTATAATCATTATGATTAGCGTTGTCGATAAGAAATGTCTTAATAGTGGCACGAAGATCATCAGAACCAAGCATTGTGGTAACTGATTTTGCTTGTCTGACATCAAATGGTACAAGAAGTTCGTTGCTTGGATCCCACCTAACTTTAGCTTGGAGATTCATAATGAAACTTGACATACAGTGATTATAATTACTATCACTGTCATCGTGAAAAGATAGCTTGAAAAGAAGAAGGATACAGTAGCCAAAGACCACAACGATGGAAGGCCAGCCTAATTCAGGAAGACGAGAAATCAAAATTCTGTTTTCATCAGCCTGGGATGGCAAACTAATGAACCGAGGCCTAACACATATTTCATTCAGTGCTTCCACCACGGAGTTTCGGAATCCAGGAACAACGGCGCATAACATAGATCCAACATAACTGCATAACTCCTTGTTATTCTTTGAATCATACTTGGCAGCAGAATATGCCTTACGAAAAGCCACACCAGTTGAGTCACCTACATCTGGAATGTAGAAATTAATATCAGTCACGTTTCCCATCACATTGATTTCAAACTGGTTATTTGGCTTGTAGAGGATAGTTTCGTGAGGTACTGGAACGATGCTGAGATTTGTTTCAGCTGCAGTAGCATCGTTATCATCATTGGTGGAGTTTTTCATTTTAAGATACAATTGATTGATTAGAATGAGAAGATTATAAGCGGAATATGAAAGTGTTGGAAAGAGAACGCCTATATATAGAGGAGTGTTTATTTGTGCTTCTTCTATAAACTGAGTATTGGGAATAGCCAGAGACAAAAACTAATAAATTGCATTAGCTGTTTGCATTGGAAACGAAGTGAAATTAATAAAATAACAATACTAGTACTCCATTTGAACTTTCAATTTCCCTTTTATAATAGTACTCAATTAAGAACACTTTTAAATTCTTTCTTAAGTCTATTAGTAAAATTTTAAGAAAGTTCTTATACATTATTTTAACAGTCACAACTACTACAATAAACCGTCAAAATGAAATATTTGTTCCCAATTATATAAACCGCTATCAAATTATTTTCCTATTAATTTTAAAAATGACAAAAAAATGATTAAATATAACTAAGAAAACTTTTAAATTCTTTCTTAAGTCTATTAGTAAAATTTTAAGAAAGTTCTTATACATTATTTTAACAGTCATAACTACTACGATAGACCGTCAAAACGAAATATTTGTTCCCAATTATATAAAACGCTATCAAATTATTTTCCTATTAATTTTAAAAATGACAAAAAAAATGATTAAATATAACTAAGAAAACTTTTAAATTCTTTCTTAAGTCCATTAGTAAAATTTTAAGAAAGTTCTTATACATTATTTTAACAGTCATAACTACTACGATAAACCGTCATAATGAAATATTTGTTTCCAATTATATAAAATGCTATTAAATTATTTTCCTATTAATTTTAAAAATGACAAAAAAAAATGATTAAATATAACTCTAATATAGTATATATATATATATATATTCAAAGATTTTATAGGTATTTGGAAGAATATGACATGACAACTCATTTTTATGAGTATTTGTTGAATGTAATTCAGCATTTAAGATTAGTTTCATTTTCATTTTCATTTGAAGTTGAATTTGAGTTTTATTTGAGTCTTTATATAAAAACTCAAATGAAGTTGCATTTGCAACAAATTTTAACAAAATTTTGCATTTGAGAAAGTTTTTGAAAGTTAGAAAATTTGTTTTCATTATTTCTCTCTCTGCAACTGCTCATCATCTTCTTCCTCTTGTGCTTTGTTAATGGAGGTTCATTGTTGAACTCCAACAATTGGTATCTAAAGCTCTGATTCGAGTTATAGGGAAACACATTTATAGTGAGGTATGTGATTTATTTCGTTTTTGAAATTCGCGTTGAATTGAAGTTCCAAATAGAACAAATGGGTTTGAGAAACATGAGTGTTGATGAGAACTGAGTAAATTTGCACAAGAACAATGATGAACGGCAGAAATGGTAGCTTGAACACAAAGATTCAAGTATTCGACGAAAATAAATGGAATCATTGGTCAATTCAAATGCGTGTGTTGTTTGGTGCTCAAGATGTTCTTTGTCTATTTAATGATTGTTACATGTCGGTTGCAGAAAATGCAATTGAAGCATAATGAACTACTCAAAGTGAAACGATGAAGAAGGATCAAAAGGTGTTGTTCTATACCCATCGGTGTGTGGATACGGAGGTGATTGAGAAAATTATTGATTCAATGACAGTGAAGACGGTGTGGGATACACTAGTACGATGCTATGGCGGTGTTACAACAGTGAAAAAGGTCAAGTTTCAGTCCCTACACAATCAATATGAAAATCTCAGCATGAAAAAAAATGAGAAAATGTCAGATTACATCTCCAGAGTGATTGTGGTCACTAATGAGATGAAGTCTTGTGGAGAAACGTTATCTGAACAAGTAATCATTGAAAAGGTATTGAGACCACTTCTTACTCAGTTTAATTACATAGTTGTAGCCATAAAACACTTTAAAGACATCAGCACCATGAAAATTGAAAAGCTTCAGAGTAGTTTAGATGCACAAGAGTTGTCTCTGACTAAATGAAACTCTTTAAAGGAGATAGAACAGGCCCTGAAACCTTTTTTTTAGAAAGAAGAACCATAAGCAAGCATGGCTAGAGAACAAGAAAAAGTATGGTGGTGGTGTTTAGAAGTCATAACTCTCAAATTCTGATAAAAATATCAGAATGTTCAGAAGGGAGGAGAAGTTTGATAAGAGGAAGGTTCAGTGCTATAGTTGTAACAAGTTTGACCATTTTGTTGTTGATTGTTGGTCAAACAAAGTTAGCAAGGGTGAAGAAGCAAACATAGCCAGAGAAGACTCTGATTATAAACATGTGTTATTAATGGAAAACTGTATTGGTCAAGGGTGTATGGTATGTTCCCGACATAAATAGTAATTTGATGAGTGTAGTTCAGCTGATTGAATTTTTTTTAGTAACCATGAAGGAAAATATCTTAAAGTTGTATGACTATAATCAGAAGTTGATTATGCAGTCTAGACTGGAAAAAATCCAAGTGTAAGTCATTTCAAGGTGTTTAGTTCAGTACGTTACAAACATATACCAGATAGTACCAGAAGTAAATTGGATGACAGAAGCAAAGTCATGTTTCTTATACGTTACCATAGTACAAGTGCTTATAAGTTTTATTTCCCAATTACCAACAAAGTTGAATTCATAAAAGATGTTAGAATAAAAGAATTAGAAACATAAGATTTGAGCAAGTCTCAATCCAACTCTAGTGTAGTGTCAGCACTAGAGTCTGATACTTCCTATAAAGATGGTTTTGCCTCTGAAGGTGATTTTGACTCTGAAGGAGAGTCTGAATCTGAAGATGACTTTGATTATGAAGGTGAGTCTGACTCTGAAGGTAACTTTGAATATAAAGGTGAGGTTGACTTTGATGGTGGATCTAAATCTAAAGGTAACCCAGCCTTTGAAGGCGGAGCTTCTAAATATGGTTCTGCTTTTGAAGGTGAACTTGCACAATTCCATAGGCCACAAAAAGTTTGATAAATACCAAGGGGACATGCATATTTTGAGTTGCTACAAGATATTGAGATTGACTCAGAGGGGGGTGTCAAACAGAGTGCCATGATGGTAGACTCTGAAGCTGTCAACACCAATGAGGCTATTAATAAGAAGGTGTGGGTGAACTCCATAAAAGAAGAGCTTGAGGTCATTGAAAGAAAAAATACATTTAAATTGTTTGTTTTACCTCAAAACAAGAAATCCGTCAGTGTGAAATGGGTTTTCAAGATAAAGTTGAAGCCAGATGGTTTATTTGCCAAGCATAAAGCAAGGTTAATAGCTAGAGGATTCCTACAAAATTCTATTTTAGACTACTTTGAAGTGTTTTCACTTGTAACTAGATATGAAACCATAAGGTTGGTTATTGCTATTACTGTAAATAGGAATTGGTCTCTAATGCATTTAGATGTAAAATAAGATTTTCGAAATGGTCCATTGCAAGAAGAAGTTTATGTGTTAAACCCTCATGGATTTGTGGAAGAGAACAAAGAAAGGATTATATGCAAGTTTCATAAAGTCTTATATGGGTTGAAACAAGCTCCAATGGCATGGATATGAAGATTGATTCATTTTTTGAAGCATTTGGGATTCAAAAAAAAAAATGTAAAATGGAATATGGTGTGTGTGCGCAACATACATATGAAGGCAATTTGATTTTATCATGTCCTTATGTATATGGCATACTTCTGATAGGGAGATGCATTGCTGAGATAAACAAGTTCAAGAAGGTGTTGATGAATGCCTTTGAATAGCTGACCTTGGAAATATGGTATATTTTCTAGAGATGGAGATTTTGCATTGTGAGAAGGAAATTATTGTGCACCAATTGAAGTATTAACTTGAGTTATTGAAGAGATTTGAGCTAATGAATTATAAGTCAGAAATCACACCTGCTGAGATAAATCATAAGCTGGACTCTGATGATAATGTATAAGATATATAGGTAAAACAAGGCTTGCCATGTGTTATGGAGTTGGAATGGTGAGTAGGTTTCTGAGTAAATCAAAGTGGTCACATTAGCATGTTAAAGTCGGGATTTTGAGGTATGTAAAAGGGATGATGAGGCATGGAATTCTATTTCCATCTAGAGTATTAGGTGGACAGAAGAAACGCTACAAGATATATATATTTATGTATCTAGGAGCTCCTATTTCTTGGTGCTCTAAGAATTAACCAGTGGTTGCATTGTCAATCTGTGAAGCTGAATACGTAGCTGGTGATTTGTTAGCTTGTCAGGCTGTTTGGTTGTTGAATTTGTTGGAGGAACTAAAGTTCAAAGTGAGCAAATCAGTCAAGTTGATGATAGACAACAAATATGCCATAAGTCTTGCTAAGAATTCAGTGTTGCATGGAAGAAGCAAGCTCATCGATACTGAGTACCCTTTTCTGCATAATCAGGTCAGAATATATTACTCAAGATTGTTTATGTAAGCACTTATAAGCAACGTGCAGATGTGTTGACCAAGAAAATCAAAACTGCACACTTCATCAATTTGAGGGATGAAATCGGTGTTGTGGATTTTTAACTTGAATGTGAATTAAGAAATGGTGTTGAATGTAATTCAACATTCAAGATTAGTTTCATTTGTATTTGAATTTGAATTTGAGTTTCTTTTTAGTCTTTGTATAAAAACTCAAATGAAGTTGCATTTGTAACAAACTTTAACAAAATTTTGCTTTTGAGAAATATTTTGAAAGTTAGAAAGTTTGTTTTCTCTCTCTCTCTCTCTCTCTCTCTCTCTCTCTCTCTCTCTCTCTCTCTCTCTCTCTCTCTCTCTCTCTCTCTCTCTCTCTCTCTCTCTCTCTCTCTCTCTCTCTCTCTCTCTCTCTCTCTCTCTCTCTCTCTCTCTCTCTCTCTCTCTCTCTCTCTCTCTCTCTCTCTCTCTCTCTCTCTCTCTCTCTCTCTCTCTCTCTCTCTCTCTCTCTCTCTCTCTCTCTCTCTCTCTCTCTCTCTCTCTCTCTCTCTGTGTAAATGCTCATTATCTTTTTCTTCTTGTGTTTTTCTAGTGGAGGTTAATTGTTGAACTCCAACAAGTTTGTTAACGAATGATAATTAATTTATAAAAAAAAGTATGATCCCTTAATTATTCTTAAATTCGGGTACACTAATTGATAACTCTATTTGCCTAGAGCTAGTAAGAATTGCAAATGTTTATCTAATTTTTGTTGTATGGAAAATGTCACTTTCTTGTAGGATGGTTGGCAGTTTACATATAATCTCATATGAGGCCAATTAGTGGGAATAAAGTCCCTTAATGACCTTGCTTACCTAAGGAAAATTAATGGGAATCAAGTCTCTTATTTTTATGTTTGAGACTAATCACTTATGATTGACTATGTATACATCTTGAATGCTCTATTTGCGTGTTAAAATGCATTAGTTAGAAATAAGAAATATTAAATCTGGGTTGACATGCTCAATTTGTCCCGTTTAAGTTGACCCCTTTAAGCCACCAGACTTGGTCCTACCCCTCAAATGCCTAAAAATAGAGTAGGAATCTACTAACCCCGAGTTCATATATGGCCCAAATATATGGATGTTATGCCCTTGGTGTAACACCATGAAGCCGAACATATATTTTGTACAAGCACATGCGGAAAATATGATGGTAAAACAAAACAGGGTGTTACACATATCTCTCAACATTCAATGTTTAATTAAAAATGCGGAATTAACTTCGAAACAGCATAACATCATTATTCAAGTAAGCAATTTAGAAACAACCTTATTCATGATATTATGTATTCAATGAAACAACTCAAAAAATAAAATAAGAGTTTTCCTTTCAATGGAACCATGGTTTAATAGGTGAAAATGGAGGATTTGGTGGACAAGAAGATAAAGATGAAGAAGGCAAGATATTTAGTGATGATTGATCTTTTTATTGTTATTTATGTTTATGGCGTGAATATCACCTGATTATAATTTTAATAATTTTAAATGATAGTTATAATTTGAAAATGTAATTGTTTAATCGAGTATAATTTTAATTTTTGTATTTTAATGATTGTTATTTAGTTTTTAAGTGATAATTATTATTTAAAAATATTTTTTTAATTACTAACTTTGTATTTTATAAATATTTTATTTTATTTTATTTTTTAAATATAATTAAATATCCTTCAAAATAAAAACCACAAGGCAAAATTTTAGAAAAAAAATCATTAATGACGTGCTTTCACGGTTGATATTGATAATTTAGTGGCGTGAAATTCACATGGTCATTTAGTCACACTGATCCAATTGATACAATTTTTTTAACAACCTAATTAGCCTACCACAAATTAGTGGCGTGTTTTTCACATGACAGTGTAATCCAATTTATTTTGTTGATAGCGACGTGAATATCATGCCACAATTTATGACATGATATTTGGGCTTGTAGCATGATTTTCGCTTGTTTATTTTTTATAGTGTAAAGTTATTGTAGAAAGAAAAGGTAAAGTAAATTATTTTGAATTAAAATTAAAAATTGCTTCTGCATATGTGAGGGAACACCATGTTTCTTGAAGCAGTTATCAACAATGTGGTTAGTTTTACCATAAAATGTGCACATAAGATTTCTATGTTTAGAAGAGCTCCGCCTTGATCCAAACTTCTTGGAATCCACAACATTGATCAAAGGCTGAGACTCATTAGTTTGTGGATGAAGTTGTATTTGTCTTTCATGTTAAATAACAATAGAAAAGATTTTGTTTATAGGTGGTAAGGGAACCATTAACAATACTCGTGACTATACAACAGCAAATTGATCGTCCAGACCAGTTAAAAAACAAATTATATGCAACAGCTCATGACTGGACCTAACACTACGCAAAGCTTCGCAAGAACACTTGATTCGACATGTGCGCATAGGCAATGATAAATAAAAATCTAATTCTTCCCAAAGAATCTTCAGATTAGAAAAGAATTCAGTTACCGATTTTGTTTCTTGCTTGGGATTGTAGATTTCCTTCTGCAATTCAAAGATGCGAATGAGATCGCCTTGAGATAACCTTTCTTTGAGATCATTCCACACATCAATAGCATTTTCCATGAAAACGATAAGTTGAGCAATTGATTTTGAAACGGAATTCATGATCCAAGAATGAACCAACATATTGCATTGGTTCCAAGCTCGAACTGAGGGATCGAAAGAATCCAACGGAGCTGGGAGAGATCCATCAATGAACTATATCTTCATCTTGCCACCAAGTGCCCTATTCATGGATCAAGCCCAAGAGTGATAATTGGATCTGGTGAGCTTGGGAAGAACGGTGACGGAGCCAGGGCCGTCACTAGGGTGAACACAAAAAGGAGAAGTTTGATCTATAACAAGATCAATCAGTGGCGGTCGTGGAGGCGCCATAAAAGCAGAAAGAAAAATTCAGGCAAGGAATAGCAAAAGTAAGATCAAAATGACAAGTGACACTATATTGTGATGCAACAGAGTATGAGAAGAAACGATAGAAAGATGAAGAACGGAAATGGAAGAAACAAATAACTCTTCATTGATTTTATAGAGATAAGAATTTCGAATATATCGAAAAGTGTTATCACTTATCAACCAATGATAATTGAGATTCTCCAACTAACTACCACTAACAAACTAACTAATCTAACCAATCAAAATAAAGAGATTAACTAGACGAATTACTTGATTAACTTGATAGTTAGAATAACTGATTGAATAGCCCGATCATGCCTGGTTTTGATTACTACGATATTATTTTTTTCCAAAGTTATCCAAGTTTCCATAATATTTATTACCTTAATCATTCATTGTTTACTCATTTATGTTCAAAATAAAGCACCAAATAAAAAATTTATTGTTAAGATTATGATAAAATACTGTTTAACTATATTTGATTGACTCACTAAAAAAACCAAAGCTTCACTTGTCTGATTTTAACTTCATCAAAAAAAAAAAATTATTTTGTTGCTTATATTATTATTGTAGAAAACAAAACTTAAAAAGACAAGATTATCACAAAGGAAGTAATGTACTACAAATCTAACAATAACAAGAATTAAAAGAGAATCATATTAATAAGAAGAACAAGGACTTAAACACACATGGCAAAAAAAGTTGGAAATCTTAAAATTTCTACCATGAGAAGTCGAGATACAAAAACCAAATGCCTAAAATATTAATTATGAAAATAAAAAAAAAAAATAAAACAGGTGTAAAGGCATTAGAAGAACCACCCTAAACCTCTACTGGTAAGTACAGAATCTCCGATTAAGATGATTTGTTCCTCAAATAATTGCAAATTCTTGAAACAAGTGAATCGGTATGATTCATGTTGGCGATCAGGAATTTCCTTACAGTTTCTTTAAGTTGAGGGGAAGAAAGCATTGTGGTAACTGCATCTTCTTTTATGGCGTCAAACGGAATCTCAAGTTTGCTGCCTGGGTCACATCTAACTATAGCTTTCAGATCACGAATACAGTTTAACATATGAGTGTGAAAATCACCTGTATAATAATAATGGGAAAGAAGATGGATACAATAGCCAAACGTTACAAGGATGGAAGGCCAGTCCAATGGAGGAAGCTCAGACTCCACTATTTTCTTTTCATTAGCCTGGGATGGCAAACTAATGAACTGAGGCCTAATGCATATTTCACTTAGTGCTTTCTCAATGGAGGTTCTAAATGCAGGAACTACTGAGCATAGCATAGATCCAATACAGGCACATAAATCTTTGTTATTCTTGGAATACTTGGCAGCCTTATAAGCCATCCGGAAAGACATACCATTGATGTCTCCTGTATCATCTGGGATATAGAAATTGCATTGTGTTATTACTCCCATCATTTTGATTTCAAACTTGGAATTATTCATTGTGAAAGGTGAAAGATGAAAGTGTGCTAAGGTTTTCTTTTACTTATACTAATGAAAAAGAGAAAGCATTATATATATAAGTGTAGTGTCTGTACTACTTCAAAAAGAGTATTCGAAGGATCTCAATTTTGGGAAAGCAACACTTAAATTGAATTAACTCTTTCTGTTAGCATTGGAAACGTGATACTACTAAGTCATTCAAATATTGTTATTGGGAACGACAGAAGATAAGAAATACATTAAATATACAATAATTCCGCCTCACTCCTTCAATTTTCATAATTTCACCCTTTACTTCTTTGCGAGAACATCAATAGCCTTGTTTTAAAATTTGGTTCGCACTTATTGAACCAAAAATCAAATGTATAACCTGTCTAAACTATGAGTCTTGTAACAATCTAAATTCAAGTGCATCTAGAATCACATACTCCAAGTAGTTAAATTTTGGTACTAAAACAACATCAACTAAATGACATTCAAAAGTGTATTACATCAAGGTATATAATATATAAGATGTTCTAAATAAAATTTTGGTATTGAATTAAACTCTAGTGTCGACAAGGATAGTTTTATGATTTGACAGGAGTTGTATATGTTGGAGTCAAAGTATGTTCAAGTATGCTGTCGAAATATGCTAACTTTGTGTTTAAGTTAGCATGGCGAATTGGGCCTTGACGGTAAGCTCAATTTTTAAGTTAGTTTGTAGCTTAAGTTAGTTTAGTAGTCTATAAATAGACAAATTCTCTTAAGTTGCTTAGTTGTCAATGGTTGCCCAAATACAACAATTTTTTTACTTACTCCCAAGAACCCAATGAGAATTGGGTACCTACCACCTTTGTTTGATTTTATGTAGGTTGAGTGTCTTAACTCTATGATGGAAAAATGGGTTCTCGATAGTGGATGCTCAAGACACATGACGGGAGATATCTCTCTATTCTCCAACTTTGTGGCGAAGAAGAAATGATACATGTCTTACGGTGAGAACAACAAAGGTGCCATACTTGAAAGAGGTAGTATATGTTATCACTCAACTATTACTAACTCAAATGTTGTGTTAGTAGAAGGCCTTAAATATAGCCTTCTTAGCATTAATCAACTATGTAACAATGGGTACAAGGTAACTTTTACCAAAGATTGTTGTATAATTGCACATAATGAAAAGAAGGATTGTATGTTTAATGGTGTGAGGGTACACAATATTTATATACTAGATTTAGGAAGCATATCCTTGAATAATGCCAAATGTCTTATTATCGTGACTGAAAATTCATGGTTATGGCGTCGACGTTTAACACACATTAACTTTGATCTACTTAATAAAATAGTCGCAAAAGATTTAATAATTGGTCTACCAAAAATAAAATTTTCAAAATATTACTTATGTGATCCATGTCAAAAGGGCAAACAATCAAGGATCTCGTTTAATTCTAAAAACATTGTTTCAACATCGAGACCCCTTGAGCTCTTTCACATGGATTTATTTAGACCTTCACAGACCAAAAGCTTAGGTGAGAATTATTACGGTTTGGTAATTGTAGACGATTACTCAAAATTTTTGTTGGATTTTTTTCTTACGTAGCAAAGATGAAGCGTTCTCGGCTTTTGTACGGTTTGCCAAGTTATCTCAAAATAAATTGAATTCCAAAATAGTTTCCATCCGAAGTGATCATGGAGGTGAGTTTGAAAATCATCTTTTGAAATGTGATAAACTTGGTATTGAACATAACTTTTCGGTTCCCCGAACTCCATAACAAAATGGAGTTGTGGAGCGTAAAAATCGTGTTTTAGGAAAGTTGGCAAGAATAATGCTCAATGGTGTTTTAGGGAAGTTGGCAAGAACTTTTGGGCCGATACCGTGAGCACGACATGTTATGTGTTGAATATGATACTTACCCGTCCTATTCTTGACAAAACCGATATGAATTATTAAAGGGTAGAAAATCAAATTTGTCACATCTTCATGTATTCTGATGCAAGTCTTTTGTTTTGAATAATGGAAAAGATAACCTTGAAAATTTTGACGCGAAAGTCGATGAAGGTATCTTTCTTGGATACTCACAATCAAGTAAAGCATATAGAGTCTATAATAAGTGATTACTTAGTGTTGGGGAGTCTGTTCATTTTACCTTTGAGGTTTTCCCAAATAGTTTTGGGAAAGGTATTTCTTGTCTTGACGTAGGTGCATCTATGGAAGACATGCTCAAAGACACCGACAAAGGTACTGATCAACCTAAAGCGATAAATGTTTAAAAGGAGGAAGATGATAGCCAACAAGTAAAAAATGGTAATGAAATTTAACAAGAAAATGATGGTCTTCCATTGGAGTGGAGAACCTTCAAGAATCATCTTATTGATAACATTATCGGGGACATCACAAAAGGAGTAACAACGCGGTCTAAGATAAGTAATTTATGTTGTCACCATGCTTTTGTTTCACAAGTTGAACCTAAAAACGCCAAGGATGTCTTACTTGATGAGCATTGGATTTTAGCAATGTAAGAAGAATTGAATCAATTTGAAAGAAATGATGTTTGGGACCTTGTCCCACGTCCACAACATCATCAAGTTATTGACACACGATGGGTATTTAGGAACAAACTTGACGAGCATGGTGTGATCATTTGAAATAAAGTCCGACTAGTAGCTCAAGGGTAAAACCAAGAGGAAGGGATTGACTAAGAGGAGACTTATGCTCCCGTAGCCCGACTCGAGGCTATCCGGCTACTACTCGCATATGCGTATGCTAAGAACTTAAAATCATATCAAATGGACATAAAGAGTATGTTCCTTAACGACCACATAAATGTAGAGGTGTATGTCTCACAACCACCCAATTTTGAAAACTTTGAGTATCCTGATCATGTTTTAAAGCTAAAATGTGTGTCGTATGGTCTTAAGCAAGCCCCTCGGGCATGGTATGGATGTCTTAGCAAGTTCTTACTTGAGCAAGGATATTCATGAGAAAATATGGACAACACTCTTTTTATTAAACGTCAAGAAAAGCATACTTTACTTATTCAAGTTTATGTTGATGATATCATTTTTGGATCAACTAACATGCATCTTGTAACAGCCCAAATTTCATTAAATAATTAATTATAGTAATTAATTGATTTAGTGAGATTTTTATTAATGTTGGAAATTAATTTTATTAATTGGGATTAATAGAGAATTGAGAAGGAAATTGGAAGGAAGGAAAATGAAGGAAATATATATATAAGAGAGAAAGAAAAGAAAAGAAAGTTAGAAAACATTTGGAAAGAAAGAGGAAAGAAGAAGAAAGGAGAGAAAGAGAAGAGAAGAAGAGGAAAAGTGGAAATCATCAAGAACCAACATCAAAGCTCCGATTAATCGAGGTAAGGGTGAGAAATGTTTCTATTTGATCATGGTATGATGTTATGTATGTTGGGTTAGGGTTTTAGTAGAGTTTCCATCACTTTCTAATTAGGGCAAATGTTGGATTAATCAGTAGAATGATGATTTAATCGGTTGAAACTGAGCAATAATGCCGTAGAATAGTCGGGTAACATGTATTGATGTTGTTTGTACTGATTTGGATGTGTAAGAGAGGGGTGATGATGGATTGGTGAAGGAGGAGCAGAATGGGGTTCTGTTCTGCGCAGGTTCGCTGGCTCTCGCCAGGCGAGCGAAGGCGAAGCTTCGCCAGGCGAAGCCTAGCGAATGTTGGCGAATAATTATATTTAAGTCCCAGTAGACTTCGCTGGTGGGCTCTCCAGGCGAAGTTGGATAGCGAAGGTTCGCCCAGCGAAGGTGCTGGCGAGTGGTGGCGAATGAAGTCAGTAGCTACTGACTTGGGCTCGCTGGGAAGTCTCGCCAGGCGAAGCCTAGCGAGTGTTCGCTGAGAGAGTTCGCCAGGCGAAGGCCAGGCGAAGGTTCGCTGCGAGGGTTCGCCAGGCGAATGAAGGCGAATGTGACAGTATATTTCTTTGCTGTGTTATCCAAATGGTGATTGGTTGGTTGATTCGCATATGTTAATACTTTTATGTTATGAATGAGTATGTGAACTATTATGATAACATGTGTGCTGTGGGTAGCCCTCGGGCGTGAATCCTAGAGTTGTGATATGAATGATTAATTGTAATCGGTTAAAATACATGAGAACATAATGATGAATATGTGTGTATTAATTGATGAGTTGCGAATGTTTGATTGTTGTATACAATTATGTAATGAGTATGCATGAGAACATTTTGAATATGTGTGCATAACTTATAGTTGTATGATTGGTATTGCGATGTGAATACCTTGATTTTCGTGATAATTAGAGATACATGGGAATACAATGAGGAATGTATGTGTATCGTCTAATGAATTGTGAGTGCATATTTGTATGCAATTGTTGTGTGAATGCATGGGAACATATGTGATATGTGTGCATTGTTGTTGAATATGATGATGTGTGAAAAGAATATATTGATAAATGTTTGATATATGTTGTATGTGCAATCATGATGAAATTCTCGAAGGGGTGAATTATTCGAATGCATGGGATTAAGACGCGGGAACGGTCTTAAGTGCATTTATTGTGATTGGTTGATTCTACATGCATCATTCAGTCAAGAGGCAATGTCTGTTAGTTTCGTGGAAACTAGTGGCTTGTCCCAAACCTAGAAGGATGGGTTTGAAGCCTAGGGGACGGGCTTGGTTGTTATCGGTCTAGAAGGGTGGACCCGGTTTAAAGTAAAAACCGAAAAATGATAACGGGTTATCGGTCTAGAAGGGTGGACCCGGTTTAAAGTAAAAACCGAGAAAAGATAACGAGAGTCGGTACCGCATAGCATTGAGTTGCATTGAATATGTTGAGTCACATTGCATAATATTGTTGTGGTACATATGTGCTTGTGAAAGATTGTGAAGTCAAGCATGAAGGGATGTGCTTGTGGTTATTCACAATGTTGATATATGTGAATGTGATATGATTATGATTGTGAGAATAAAGTGTGGTGAGAAATGTGAATATGTGTTATATGATACCTATA